TATCACAGCATGCTGTAAACTTGTTAAGCCTAGACTTTTTTTTTTACCATCTGGACAACAGACTTCTTTGGAGAGAAGCACACACACTGAATGTTCATTTTACAGGGACCACTGAACAGGTTTCCTTCATGGAGCCTTTCACCAAACTGTTAAAAGCATATCGCTTAAACTGTTAAAAGAATATCACATTCCTTCCTGAAAAGCTAGAGAAAATTGCTCTTGGGTTGACATTTTCATCTACAGGACTCAAATCACATTTTGGGAGAAACATTTGAACATCACAAATAGCTCTTCAAAATTTATGGAGTAGTTAAGGGGGGGAACAGCAAATAACATTTTAAAAAGCTCTGTTTTAAAAGATGCTTTGGAGATGAAACACAGCTCCTTATTTCAATCCGTTTTATTTTTAGGATTTTTTTATTCTTATGCCCTTGTTAATTTTTTATATATATACTCATATTACAAATGTTTTTCCATGAAGTGATAAATTCAAATATGCCATCTCTCTTACAGACTATCCTAAATCAAAGGTTCAGTATTTACTGTATATGAGGCTATTAGTGTATACAGTGGTGCCTCACAAGACAAATGCCTCACAGGACAAAAAAACTCACAAGACAAATGGTTTTGGCAATGGGGCTGATGACTCGCAAGACAAATGCTCCTATGGTCATGCTTCGCAAGAAGAATGTTTTCCGTTTTTTGTTCCTGCCTCATGTTTGCTGACTTTTAAATGTTTTTCTACGATGTTTAAAAAGTTAAAGTTTTTTTACTGAAATTTTTTAAATCATCTGCACAATATGTATGGCTTTAAAGAGCACTTGATAAATCATTTGTAAACCAAATTTGACTTTGTTCTGACTTTTTTTGCCCATAGGAACACATTAATTAGTTTTCAATGTATTCCTATGGGAAAACGCGTTCCGCAAGACAAATTTTTCGCAAGACAACATTAACCGCAGAATGAATTAAATTCATCTTACGAGGCAGTATTTTGTTAGAAACCTGTCTAATTGGTCACACTGTATAACCAGAAATAGCAAATTTGCAGTAGAATACAGTATTTCGTGTCAGCTTGCCAGTTTGGAAAATGTATAAAAAAATAACAAAAACCATTCATATGAATATAAGGTGTCTTCCCTATTTCACTGAAAATCACATTTTGGTACACTATGATTGTTGCAGCTCACATTCCTTTTACACAAGGTTGCCTCTATATTTGTACCTTTGAGTATGTCTACATGGACAGTGCCTGCCAGTTCAAACCTGTATGTTGTGGTTTCATAAAGCTGATTTTCACTCTCTTTATATCTGATTGTCCACTACTTCAAATTCTGATGCATTTCAGAAGCCTGTGTTTACACAGAAATGGGTTACTTTCTGCCAAATGTGCCATTCTTTGTTTTTGTGGGTATGTATTTTTCCTCCATGTTATACGAGGGTTTGGTTTTACTGAAGAATTTTGCTGATGTGCTACCCTCTAAAATTGCCTTCTATTAAATAAATCTGTTGCATCTCACAGATCGATCCATCCACGAGCCATTCTGAAGTTACTACATCATGGCTTACAGACTCTGGCCAGAGAGCTGTTTAAATACACAATGAACAGCCAAACCTCTCTCCCAGTTCTGGAAAGAATCTAACAGAAAATGCTAGAGCCTGTTATGCCTGCTAGAAAGACGAGGAAATTTAGTCCAGACATAACATGGCTATTATGAATGCTAGGTTTAAGACATAGATTTATGCGGGTTCAGATTAATAATGTACCAAAAGAGCTCTTGATGTCACCAGTGCTGATTGCCAGGCCACTCCTGAGGAAGTGGACATGTCAGATCTGGACAGAAGAAACACAGAACGTAACCTCAATAATAAAGTACATTAATCATCATCAGAACTAGAGTTGTCAAATGACCAAAGTGCTCTTGGGAGATCCAGGTGTTGTTTTCCAATATGCCAGTGGTTCCCAACCTTGAGTCCCCCAATATTTTTGAACTAAAACTCCCAGAAGCCTTCATCACTAGCTGTCCTGGTCCAGATTTCTTGGAGTTGTGTTCCAAGAGTATCTGGAGAACCAAGGTTGGAAACCAATGCACTAAGCCATGAAACTGACTGGGTGATCTTATGGCAGGCATTTTCCCCATGGCTGGACTACCTTATGAAGTTAATATGAAAATAAAATGGGCATGAAGAGAGACACGGAAGTTGTCTTGAACCCACTGCAAGATAGTCAGGATCCAAAAATTAGGAATAAACAAACAGGCAAATTTTGGCAGTCAATATCTCACACAGCTGTTGTGCAGACAAGTAAACTGGGGGACCACATACACCTCTGTAAGCAGTAAGAACAATCTAGAACAGTATATTGACTTAGTTTCTACAGGCTAGACAGTAATACAGACAAACCTAAGGTTTGGTTGAGGCTAGTAGAACAGACAAGCCTTAAACACTTTTAAACAATTATGAGTCTACACCACTGAAAGTATATGGAAACTAAGCAGGAGACACTGTTGTGTGTCCAGACTTGATTTAAACCATACCTACTACCTGTAATATTATTACAAAATGGATGAAATATAAAGAAAAGAATGAAACCATAAAATTCCTTGACCATATTCTGTATATGGGCAAGCATGTCTTCTTTTCCCATATATCCCTCCCTGCTCTTTACAACTGATCACAGAGGCCTCCTTCCAAATGCCATGATCAGCAACACAGATATAGGAATGTATTATTTATTATTTTCATCTTGCCCTGTCACAAACTGCTTCAAGCATACTGTTTATGAAAAACTGAGACATAAAGAAAATGTCTGATAATTTGATGCCGCTCGGAGGATTACGTTATTCTGAGTTCAATGGTCCCTTAATCTCTGTGATTAGGACTGCACACTAAATCTCTTCTTGATGTTTTGTTTGCTGTGTTTTCAAATTCTGCATGTTCATTTTCCTCTTTATAGTACTGTTTTTTCCAATTCTTTATAAAACAATCCAAGAGATATTAACTCAGAAATGAATCTTGGTTAATCAACTTCCAGCAAGTTTCTGTTGTATATGCCTCTGCTGGAGAACATGAGGGAGAGGATGCAGCAGCTACACTTGTGCCTTGCCCATAGGTTTATCATAGGCAATTGATCAGCCACTGTGGGAACTTGAATCGTAGGCTGGATAACATTTGGGACCTTCTAGGCCTGCAGCCATAGCACTGGAACCTTACATTCACTAGGCTTCTTTTTTGTTTAGCCTAGAGTGGTTGTTCAACTAGCTAGGCGGAGTATAAATGCAATAAATAAATAAATAATTGCTTCATTCGAAGAGCTAAATACACATCCCTTAAATGAATAAATAAAATGCCCACATTTAATCCATATTCTGCTATCAAAATAAAGTTTGTGGATTAGGATCAGAGCATTATGCAAAGAATGACAGAGAAAGCAAGATGGGCTTCTAGACATCTGGATGACTGCAACAGCGAAAGAGCAGACTTCCATAAATTAAAATGTGGATGAGGAGGAGACATCCTGAATACAACTGAAAGAAACTGGTGTCCCATTTATTTGTTTGGTGTTGTCTCCCATTTATTCCCTCTATTCTTCCCCTGCTCCCTTTACAGGTTCAGTGACTCACAGAGCCATTCCACTTAACAAGCGGTTTGGATCATCCATGGTATGAGCTGTTATGTGCATTTGGCAGCCGAGGCTCTTGCCATTTGCCCAAATTTTGTAATCAGAGATAATTCCTTGCATGCCCTGGAAAATACATGTGCAGAAAGATAGGCAGATGGAAAGCGTTTTTCCTAGCGTTACACTTTAATTTTCATTTAAACCCAAGCACTGTCAGCAGAGGCGGTTAGGCAAATACGGAAAAGCTGATGCCGCGATTGACACACGGCATCATCAACTTACTGGCCCAGGGCCATCTGCTGTCAGAGACCTTGTGAAATGAGAACACATGTATGGTTCCTGCAGAGCAAGGCACTAAGCAGTGAAGTGGGCAGGTGTTAAAATATAACAACAGTCCGGAATCTATTCAGTATATTTACACACTGCTAACACAGATAGAACATTTAACTAATTCAAGGCAAACACTTGTTACTTTCTGAAAAATCAAGATCCTTTAACATTTAATAAGCAATTAGCCAACTGGCAGCTTGTCATCCAAACGGGGACAGCCTCACCCTGCTAATTCAGGGTAAAGTTCTCTCAGGAATAACAAACTGTCATAAGGAGAACAGAAGGAGGAGGAAAACTAGTTTGAAATATTGATCTGCACAACAGAAGCCTCCCTACATGGAGAAAAATATTTCCCTCAGATCATGGAAGAGAGCATAAAAACAACAACAACAACAACAACAACACCTACTTGATCTAACAGTACTCTGGGTTTTCTGTAAGAAGACAGTGACTTTTAAGAGCATAATAAGGAAAAGGCTACCCTCTGCCACTTGTATATTGGTGGGGCATCAGCATTTATTTATATACCAGCCCATAGAATTAGAACACTCTGGGCAGTTAACAACATAACTATTCGGGTCATGAGCAGAGACTTGACTGCAGTACTGCAGTTTAAACACTGTGCCACAGGGCCCATATGTATGTACATGCAGGAAAGCATGTAGCAAGAGTTTGCAATGATGGATGTATTCCATCATTGCAAATTTCAAGCTTCTTGTAAGTGGATGTATCTATCACACACCTACACATATTTTCTTGAGGCATTTACTTGATGCATGCTGTGAGTGCTCATGAAGAATACATTCAGGCTAAAAGTGCATTTAAACTCCCCAAGGTTAACCAACATTACACACTTTAACCTAAATAATCAAGCATGTTTCATAAACAAAGGTAAGATCAGACCCAAAACAAACACTAGCATTCACACTGCAAGTGCAGCAAGTTTATATGGAGAAGTATTTTTATTTATTGTTTGGTTTGCTGGTGCAAATGGAAATAAGACAATGTTCTAGAATAACATTTGCTTTGGAATGTTGATCTGCTTTCTTACCATTGAATGTTAAGAACACCCTGGCCTGGGGCTGCGAAGATCCTTTTACACTCCAAGAGCAAATAAACACCCCAATCAACACTTGGAGACAGAGAAACGTCATTATCTTCAGATGGGAAATGTAATATCCACAATATGAAACCTAAACAAAAAGGGAGAGAGAGAAAGGTCATTGTAGGTGGTACCTACTGTTCAGCAAAAGGCAAAGACAACAGAACACGATGGGGCCAGCTGTGAAACCCCCTTTAGAGGGGATGGTGTGCCCCATTCTTTGCTAAAATGTGACAAATCTGGCAGGATGGGCAGTAAAAGGAAGCTGTAAATGAAGTATGTCAGTGGAAGAAGGCCCACAGTAAGGATCAGGCAAAGTTTATTTCAATAAGGATGATTCCCACCTGCTGGAAAAAATAATTATGTTAAATGTCAAGGCAGAGCAAAGCAAGGGCAGGCGATAAGGTTTCATGAATGAAAACGTCTTGATATTTTTAGACCTCTATCTTTACTGTGCTCTTTTTTGTAATATAAAAGGGTCGGCTCAGCCTGAAGAACCCACAGGACAGGCATGTCAAGTCTTTCCTCAGGCTGCCTCCTCTTCCCATGTGCAAGGCCATTCTGAGTTTTTTTGCCCACATTTTTCTAAACGTGCACATATCTAATACATTTCATTCACAGAACATACCTCAAGCCCTGAAAATGTACGGATTTCTGACTCAAAACTGGATCACATTCCATGTTCTGTCAGGGAGGTGTAGCACTGGATATATCTGTGGAAGATGTTTGAAGAGCACATTTCTCACACTCCCCTAACATATTAGTTGTACATTAAAACTGAGAAGACAAACACACCCACTGTACTTGGGGTAACTCTGAAGAGGTTACATAGCAAGACACCTATCCCACTGGTACAAGCACTGCACCAACAGTGGTGTTTTAGAGGTTATGTGGCAAGACACCTATCCCAATACAAGCACTGCACCAACAGTGGTGTTTTGCCCAAAATTTCCTGAGTGGCAACTGAAAAGTACTCACACTTATGAAGCACAGAAAGACTGGATCATTGACACAAATGGAGACAAGAGTTCTGCACTCTCAGATCTTTGGCATAAAACAGAGGGATCATTTACTTTGGGTTTGTCTTTGGAAGAATCCCAACTCCACTGTGGCTTCAGCAAAGATTATCAATGCTTGCATAGCTTAGCTAAAGATGTTTTCTGTATAACTAACCATGTTCCCAAACCAATGAAGTCAGAATAATGGAGGTGTTAATCAAAAGGCTAGGGACAATTAAGAAAGGTGCCATAGTCTGTAATACATGGTAATAAAACCAAAGCAAATGCCGGAAGGAAGTAAAACTATACTTTTATTGACCTACTGTCAATGTTATTATTAATACAGTGGTAAAGGTAAATGAACATCAAGGATCATACACAGTGACATGAAGCTATAAAGCCTCTCTAAATTTTGTTTCATTTATTCCAGTTCCATGCACGTTCCATCTTTTGCTTCTACTAGGTTAGGTAACTTTGTTCAAAAAATCATACACACTTTTATACACATTTTTGCTTATGTATATATTTTTATATGTAGTTTTCCTGGTGTATAGACTTTTGCACACATCTCCCTATTGATAAAAGGGTCATTTTCCCTGAGGCAAGGCATGCTTTCTCTCAAGGAATACCTACACTTAAATCTACTCCAACAATAATCCATGCACATTTGCTGTATACTGCACAGAATGTGAGAGCACAAATGCAGGAATTTCCACACTTCCCAGTTACTATGCATGGGCTAAAATCCTATTGCCCAATTCCACCTGCACAATGCAAAGCTGCAGCAACAGTACCAAAAATCACAATGTGCTATCCACAAAAGCACTTCCACATGTGTGCCATGCAACAGGCTAACTGGGAGTCATGTGGTCAATTGCATGGTCTAATTGCACAATCCAGACTTCCTGGGCATAACACCCAGCAGGCTTGCAAAGCCACAAGTTCACCTTACATGGAGACAAGCAGGGCCTCAGCCATAGAGTCTTAACTAATGTGTTACAGTGCAGACATCACATGTGTGAACAAGAGAATTGGAAGAGTTTCTGTTTCCTAGTCAATGGCATTGATCTCGCCTTTGTTGGGTGCCCTTAAATTCCTTCCAATCAATATGAAAACATTAACTTCAGTGGCAATTACAACTCTGTTGAGCTGGAATAAATCTATTGTACATAACTAAAGACTGTGCATTTTGCTAGTGCAATAGATGAAATTGACATAGAGGTTATATATAATATTTCAGCAACATGTTCAAGATCTATGATCAATTCATACTCTTCAGTATTTGTTGGTCACCATTAACAAGCCCATACGTGATCCTCTCCCGCCCTGCATTTGTACAAACATTTTTCTCTGCTTTTACATGCATCTGTAAAATCAGTGGTGTACTTTTGTTAGACATTCCCCATTAACCAAAAATCAAAATGCATAGGGAAGATTAGCATTTGATATTTGAATAATTTAAAGAGTATTCTTTTTAAAAAGACATTGTTTCTCTAAATTTTAGGTTATGCAAACAAACGGCATAGACTGGATGTTATCCTTAGTTCTTTCTTTTTCTTTCTCCTTATGGTATGCCATCTTGGCAATTTTTTGGTTGGTAATCAATTACTCAAATTGTAATTATAATTGTAAGTAACTGTAAATTTTTGTGATTTTACATATGTATATATTGCCGTGTTTTATTTGTAAGCCACCCCAAGTAGACATTGTCTGGAGGGGTGGGGTAAAAATCCAGTAAATAACTAAATAAAATAAATATATGAAACAAAACCAAGAGTGTATGACTGCAATTCACCAACATTTCTTCTTTAGGTACGTACTAGGCTTTAGAACTGTTAGTGAAGCTGAAAGTCATAACTATGCAACTTAGGCTGGATATTAAAAAAATAGCATGCAATGAGAAATCAATAGGGTACATACTTTCTCAGTATTATGGGCTCCACTCACACAAAGAACTTCAGCACCTAAACCAGGGCAGGTTGTTTGCATCTTTAGTAACCATGATAGGAAACAATTACATCAGTTGACACATGGCTGTGTTATGATGTCCACTGGCCTTAATCTATAAGACAGTCTTCCATATCTATAAGACAGTCTTCCATATTCCAATGCTGTGTTGGACCCTCCATGCTACTTTGAGGTTTCAGTCCAGCACATCTGGACACTAAGTTGGGGAAGACACTTCTAGGAAATTGTCTCTTTCAATGGATTGGATTGTATGAGCAGATCTGCAATACAATATACTGTAACTAAGGCTTGAACAAGAACATAATGATGAATGCTAAGGATGTGAATCACGCAGCCGTTTGCACTCAGAGAGAAACAGGGCAAGATATTCCTCTTTTCGGTTTGCTGGTGCAAATGGAAATAAGACAAAGCAAGATATTCCTCTTTTCGCCTAACAGAGAGCTTTCTCTGCATGAGATTTTATTTTTCCTGGAAAAATCTTACTGAATCTCTCCAAAGTTTCATAGCCTCTTTTTTTTTCTCCTGGAAGGAATGCCAGGCTGTGCAGGATTATTAACATTCTTGCAGAGAACAGCATACTTTCTGCACAGGATTCACCGAAAAAGCAACACGCTGCACAGGTTTTTGCCATTTCATAAGTAGAACAAGTGAAAATGAAAGAGGAGGAGGAGATTGGGGAAAAAATGCAAAGGTCTTATTTTTCTGGGAAGCCAGTAGATCTCACTGGTGGGATGGGAAGTGTCATCAGGGACTCTCACTGTGACAAGACCTGTAAATCACCTAGAATGAAAAGTATTTTGAACAGTCAACAAATCCCTAATTAATGTTATCCTACAAGACAACAGCTCCAGAGAAGACATAGGCACATGTAGCTTATTTGGGGCCAGGGGGGAGCGGACCCCTGAGCTCAATAATAGTTTAAAATCATGGGGTTGCACATAACAAAAGGACTTTTTACAGAGGACATTTTTTTATTGACACAATGCCTGTGAAGTACACCAAACTAGAAAATGGAGTGGGAGAAAGTGAGAGACAACAGGAGAGACCAAGTGGGACATAGCGCTGTTTTTGGATGTGGGAGCTGTGTATTCAAATCCTTACCTGTCCATAACACTTACTGGGTATCAGTGGACCAAACACCATCTACCCCATAATTTAATCCATAAGAAATTGGCTTTAAAGGAGCAGAAAACAAATGGCACTCCACACAAAATCAGATATCTTCCTGATCCCTGAAGTGTCACCCTGCTCAAGCCACTGATGAGGTGGACCTCCAACCAACCAGTCTAAAACCTTGATGGGAAAACCCTTCCAACTGTGAAGCCTTCTCATCTCAAAGTATTTAAAGTATTAACTCCACAGTCTCCATTCTCTAGAAATCTTTGCCCATTTCCCCACAGCATTCTGGCCTCCTTCATGCTTAATTGGCCAAGGCAAAATCAAGCAAGAAATCAAGAAACTTCAGTGATTATGAAAAATCTGGGACTGAAGCCCTCTCTGTGCTTGTTTTGCTATATAAAAAAGGTAAATATACCATTCTCTCATCTCTCATTCTTCTTTGTGGTCACCTTTCTAAATCTAACCATCGTACACCTCCTGTGGTCCACCTCCCTTTGCCACAAAACTACACAGTAAGGCTTCCAAGTTCTGCCTTACCACTTCCCCAGCATCCTCTCTCTTTCTTATCTGGTGAACACAACCCTGCTTCTATGTGTTCTTGTCTTGTTGTCAGATGCAATAAAATAACTGTCTTAGCCCTCCATTGGTGGGGAAGTGGTGATAGGCTTTGCCAGATCATTAGTATCTCATTCCTTAAGATTTCAGAACTGCAAGTCTAAAATCTTAAGGGCATTCCTTCTGGTATCCTGAGAGAGGACCCCAATGATGTCACAAAGTCAGTTCTTGAGGTGTCATATGCAAGCGTTGCGAAGGAAGTCTAACATACATACTAACACCTGTGGACTGAGCCAGTGAGTCCTAGCAACAGTTCAGAATGGGAGGAGAGGTGCACAACGGCTTTAAAGTCACTGCCCCTCCATCGTAACCCCACATACACACACAAAACCTGTATCCTTCTGGAATCCCATCTCTTTGTTTTCTCTGTCCAGAAAAGTATAGCAGTTCCTAAGATATCAGTTGACACCCTGAGAGCTGCTATAGCTATCTACTAATCAATGGTTTCGTATCCATAACAATAATAGTGCATTAAAGCTTATGTGCCTCAATGGGAATCTTTGCTGGTCAACTAATATCCTCACTTTGTCTGATTATAGTGCAAAGCCTGCACCATGCACACACATGCCCATACCACACTTCTGCAAGGGATGCTTGTATTTTCACATCAGCTGTCCTCATGTGAGCAACTATTATTCCAGAGCCATATACAGCTGCAAATTTATATATATACAAAGGAGTAAATCCCATGGAATGTTGTGGGATTCACTTCTGCAAATGCATGCCTAGGATTACATTGATTCAAACGCTAGGGTTCAAACGCTTTGCATGATCACATCTTCTCAGTTCAACAGCAGCATCTGTCAGTTCATATGCAGGTGCTGGGAGTGTCCAACATCTGGCCCTTCACACAGTGAATATTACACTTCTTAGAGCAGCAAAAGGAAGGAAAAAAGCTTGTTATCCTCATATTACGTGCCTGGTGCACATTCTCCACAACGCACTCAGCTATGTTCAGCTGGGTCAAACCCAATAAGTTATTCCCCACCACCACCACCACCACTCCTTGCACATGTGGAGTCCATCATCCTTGGAGGGAACTAACACCTGCTTGAAAAGAACTGGCTGTGTGTCTAGTACAGAGCAGCCAAGAACAAGACCTAGCAAATACAAGAACCAGGCAACTGATCAGAGAAGCAAGTCATAACTGTAAACTGCTCTGTAATAAGTTTGGAACAGAGATGTTTGAAGATTTCACAGCCCCTTTCGATCTGCACCATGCATTGCTTCAGGAGTGACAAGAGGCTCCATTAAAGTAACCAGCAGAAATTATTCCTGCCACATGAACTCCCAATTAGCACTAACTGACACTCTCAATCAGGTTTCACTTAGGAACCTTTGCACGCCAACCAAAGGCAGTTAACACCGGATTTCTATCTTACCTTTCACACACATACTGTACATTACCTTGCACAAACAATACCCATTAAATTCCTCCAAGATACCCCCTCCTGTAGTCTTAGTCCCACCCAATGTTAGAATGCAGGACTATCTTGAAAAACAAATTATTTCAGCAGCTCCAGTATTCTCAGAGGGAGGGTTAATTCAATTCAACCCCACCCCACAACACTCCAGCTTATTACCCCCTTCACTAGCTGATAAGATATCCTTTTCCCCATAATCCTTTTTTCAAGGGAAGAAATGCTATTAAGTCTCCCCGCGATGGCTTTGTGAGAGACACACAAATGGCCAATCACACTGAACTTGCCAGTCTAATAGAAGCAATAGGATTAGTATTCCACAGTTGTAGGACGGATTCCCTCTTAGGGGAATGAACTGATGGGAGTTATGCAATGCGCATTTCAATTCTATCAGGGGCATAAAAGCCGTAACAGACACACGCCTGACGCTTTCCACTTCATTTTAATCTCCCAGGACTATCATTCATTCACTTTCAGATCTGCATTGTTGTGTAGCCTTCTTGGGCTGCAGCATCCCTCTCCAAAAGGCGATCTCTTTCAAAAAGAGGAACAGGTAAAGATGCACAAAAGAGATGAAGGAGCAGAACTGAGCAGAACACGACATCAAATGGGATTAACTTTTGAGGAAATATGAATAGAAATAGGCTGAGAATAAGGGGAAGGCGCCTGCGTTCTTGTATATATTTACCTTGACATAAAGCAGACCGAGCTAATCTCAGGTAAACCATCCTAGAAACAGACGGCCCGACGCGGTTTTATTAGGGCATTGTGTGCCACCACGTGCGTGGCGAGAAGAGAAATCCTCATAGAAATTGCTCCCAGCCCTCCTCTCTCAGGATGTTTTAAGCATCCTTTGGGAGTTTGCAGGCTACGTTAGAAGTTAAATCGGCGCCCGCCCAAACCAAAGACACCTAAAAAGCAGGATCTAGGCAAGCAACCCGGCGGCTGCTGTACCAACAGAACTCCTCGACGAAGAAGCACGTTACCTGGTGGAGAGGAGGAGACAGAAAATCCTTCGCATTCCCATTGGGGGGGAGGAGTGGGGACCAAAAAAAGCAAAGTTTTGGAAGAACTAAGTTGCGTTTGTGCGGAAGGACGATCGAGGGTTTATTATAGCTCAATACTGAAGTACGAGGCAGGTGTCACTTCCACGAATTTGAACCTATACGGGAAGGCGGGCTGATTCCACGAAAACATATATTATATCTGGATACAAAAATAGCAGCTACACCTCCATATCTAGATATAAATAGACTTAGTCGAGTCACCGGCAAGACAGAACAATTGAAACATTACGGCAAGCCGTTTCAGCTTCCGCCTTCTTCAGTTGCCCTGAAGATCAATAGTTTATTAACACATGCATGCATGCACACACACGCACACACACGAGATTCAGCTGCTGGGAGGGGGAAAATTATGTCCAGCCGGACCGGGTGTGGAGAAAATTCAAAAGTCATGTCCCACAAGTTAACCAGCCTGAAAACGGGAACTTTCGATCACACTTACCCAGCTACTGAAGCGTTCAGTCTTTTAAATGGTCTCGGTAGCTCAGAGATTTCCTTTGGTGAGAGAAAAATATAATATATACTTTAAAAAAAACCCGAACAGTGGAAGCCACTTTTCCCCCCCAGATTGTAGATCCCAGATTCAGAGAGGAAGAGACACGGGGGAAATCTTCAGAGTGATAATATCCTTTAAGGTACCAGGAGCCTCTTTTCCCCCCCAAGTCTGGTGGAGAAGAGAGCACCTAAGACTGAATGGAAAGTAACGAGGAGCCTCTCGGTCTCCAATTACACTCAGTCCGGCGCTCCGACAGACCCGCCTTGCGAGAGAAGCAGCTGAGCTCCAGAGCCCTGAATGCATCATTAGCCGAGCAAATCGGAGGGAGGCTGGCTTGGGCGGCTCATAAATAAATGCATAAGCCACACCCACAAGGAAGTGAGTGAGTGTGTATGTGTGTGTGTGAGAGCGTGCAAAGGAGAACGGAGAGTAGTGTGCCCGGGAGAACCAGGTAAAAAGCGGCCGAAGAAAAGAGTGCAAACCTCTGGAGACAACCAGAAACCCACCTCGAAAGCGTGCCTGCTCAGGTGTAAACCCCCCTCTTCTCCCTCTCTCCCATGATCGCAACCAGATCGTAAGGAGATTTGATCCGGATCGCGCCCGACCGAATTCTAAGAGGGTTTCATTTGTATGCACATTTACTTGTGGGTAAACCCGTTGTACAGGGAAAGTTCCTTCGGAGCACGTCTATGTTATGTGCACGAATTACATTGTTGCAGGCTTAAGTTTACCGGCAGGCTGGCCCCTATGGAAGTTCACCTCCTGAGCAGAGCATGGGGAACTTGCTTTTTGGACTACAGTTCCCAGAATCCACCTGGTCGGGAGGTTCTGGGAGTCGTAATTCAAAAGAGCTTTCTCGGTTGCGAGCCTCAGGATCAGTTCTTTAGAAGAGAAGAAAGGAAGGTTTACTTCTGTGTAGGCACGCATGGCATGGGACTGGACTTCGGTATTACTTGGTTGGAAGTCTCATTGAGCTTCTCTTCCCAGCCGTGCTGAGAAAATGGTGTGCTTTCTGTTTCTATTTAATAGCCATAGAGATGAAACTGTATGGGTTTAACCAGAACTGTCTGAAACAACTTGAAAATGGGCAGACACATCACAGTCAAGAAGAATTCAGTGCTGTTTGGTTATTAGCAGGTTCACACTAGTCCAGCTGTTCTCAGATTATTATTAGTAGTAGTAATGGTAGTATTCAGACCCCATTTGTTGCCAATGGCAAAAACAGTGAAATCTTTCCAAGTAAAAGGTTTCTCTGCCTGCCTGCCTCTATTATTTCATGGCTAATCCTTTGTGTTATGACTTCCAAGTAGATGTCAGTTAAAGCTTCCAGCAGCAGTAGGCAAGCCTTTGAAAGGTGAACTTCAGCATAATTGAGATCAGCCCTTTGGCTGTTCCTGTTTTAAAGAGTATATACTTCTGGGACACATTCTCAGGCTCCTCTGCCATGAGCATGCTGTTCCTGGCCATGGTGATGGTCTGGCCATTGACTCCTTCAAGGAGGTGCCCCTTTCAAACAACAGTAACCGCCATTGTTTGAGCCAAAGTTCAGCCCTAGAATATGTGAGTGCCTTAGAAAAAGTGGAAGACACAGTAACACTGAGCATGTGCAGAGTGCCTTCCAATGATTTCTAAACATCAACCCACCCATCCAAATTTCAAACTAAGGTGTGTTGCCCCTACTTTTTGGAGTGAGTAATCCTACACATGGACCTCAGGCTGGTTATGTTCCTAAGTCGTGTTTCCAGAAAGATTGTAAGCCTTTCAGTAATTGCAACAAAACAAAACCAAAAAGCCATGAGCTCGGGTGTGATTTCCAGACTGCTCACAACTTCAAACTCCCACCTCTCTCCTTTATTTATTTATTTGTTTGTTTGTTTGTTTGTTTGTTTGTTTGTTTGTTTGTTTTGTATACGACCCATCTGGCTGAGGACCACTCGGGGCAGTTCTCGACAGAAGACGACAATAGACAATGATTTGACCTTAAATCGGAACCATACTTTCTTTCCAGCAGACCAAATGGCTAAAGTAGAAGGGTGGCAACCTTCCAGATGTTTTGGACTTCAACTCCCAGCAGCTGCAACCATAAGGACACATCGAGGATTCTGCAAATGTTGGCCCCAGCTGTCTGGCGAACATAAGTTTCCTCACTTGTGGGTCAACAGATGCCACTTTTTGTTCTTGGAGGTGACATTCTGACCGCTCTGATAATCAGTAAATAATATCCTTGCTTACTTTGAATTTATGCGATTTAGTGTGGCAATCTAGAGAAGCAACCCCAGAAACTAATGTAAGTCCTGAAACGGCAGCTTCTTTGTTGCAACATGCCTGTTCCCCCATATAACCCAGTGGAAGAGGTTTTAAAAAGATGCTGTTTCTGAGGGGTGCTATGTGCAGTTCTGAGGCTACTCCAGGCTTCCATTTTCCCCTTTAGCTAAAGCATCTGCCTGAGCTTGAGTCTAAATATCTCTTTTTACTGACACAAACACATACATACACACAGTTGATGATGGGAGCATCGCTTTTATTTGTTTTTAAAGTGAGAAATGCTGGAATTTAGCCCTGTTTGCAAGGGATGTCCCCAGAAGTTGTTATTCCGCTGCTAATCCCAAATCTATTGAACTCCATGAGGATTACATGAAAGCAAAGACCCTTTGCACATGGTCAAAGGCATGTCCATCCTTGGCTGATTTTTTCCCCCCAACAGGAATGAAATATGACCTTATAAACAGGTACTGGGACTCAACTCTTATGAACCCCAGGCTCAGATTGATAACTGTGGAGAAAGAGGAGGGGAGACAGAGAATCACAGCCAATTTGTCATCTCTGGAATTCATATCTCTGCAACTTGAATTTATAAATCTATAACATAGCACATTTTTGAGAGCTGTTTCTGACCAGGCCTTCCCATCTTCCCCTAGCTTGTTTCCTTCACTTCGGTGTAAACCTTTAGTACTTTTTGTGCCCTTATCATTGCCTGCCTTAAACAAGTAGAGAGATTAAAGCTCATGCATTTGTTTCTTTTCACCACCATTATTAGGTAATATTACAGAGGGAAATCTTAGTACCACCACTCTAATTAAGAGCCAAACTGTTGCCATGTGTCTTTGATTTTTCTCCTTATAAAGAGAGCTTCCCATGCCTGCTATGACATGATTGAACCTTAACAGCACTGCCTAATCTTTTCAAATGAAGCGCAAGACTGGAATGCACTGCTATCCAGTAGATGTCACCAGACAGTGAAAAGAGGGTAGACGTAATGGAAAGCTGCGCTTTCGGGAGGAGGAAAAAATCTAAAACCTGCTTGGTTGATTTTTTGTTAAGTGACTCTCCTCTGTTAAAACCCTTTAGTTTAATTGTTGTGGGAATAGGCAGCACCATGCAAGAGGCTGGTATTGGATTTCTTAAGCATTCCCGGTACTATTGAGGTCATTTGATTGCAGAGAATTTAATTCGTGTCAGGTTCTCCCTTGGTCAGTTCTTTGTATTCTCATTCTTCACCATGATGAAACCACATCAGAAGGATGGACCTAGTGGGCCAGTTGATCCAGGGTACATGGGTCTTAATAACCGGAAATTTCTGATTAGCAAGAGTTAGAACATATGACAAATTGTGGGGGATGAGATCAAAGGCTCCAGTAGTTTAACATTCTCTTCGCATTGGTCAGTCCGTGGCCAATGAAGACACTGCCAACAGCGCAAAACCATTGTGTGCACACTGCATAAGAAAATCATCTCCCATCCCTCTTGGACCTCCTTGGTTCCGCTCATCTGCAATGATAACTTTTAGCTGGGTGTGCAGATTTTTTTCCCTGTTCTAGCAACAATATATTGTTTTGAGCTCTTTGTCATGTGAAGCATTTGGGGCTGGCCAATGAAGATCCATTAACCCGACAAAAGACCTGTACCTGGTGAAAATAGAACCAGTTTTTTTGACATTGATAGTTGATAAAATGTTTCTTCTTAGAAAAATGGTAATGAAAAATGCATCCTGGGAACTTAGCTGGATTCCAACATGGGTGTTAGCAGACCAAGGACACAGAAAAGATGGCATCAATAGATATATTGTAGTGAGGAGGGAACTGGGAGGGGGTGTCCCTCTTTCAGCAACCACAATTGATGGAGCTTTCGAGTTCTAGATTATTCTATGCACTGCATAACACCAGGTAGCCACCTGTAAGGTGGTCCCTGTTGGCCACAATAGTATCAGAGCATTTCTTCCCTCTGTAGATGACTATGCTGACTGGAACTGCTAGCTTTAGCCCAGAGTTTTAACAAGGCCAACTTTTCTTTTTTTTCAATACAAAGTTTGAAGAAAGGTCCCTTTTTTCTTTCCAGGTTCCACCTCGCAATGTTTCTTCCTTGTCATTCTTATCACTAAGGTGGAAAGTTGAATTTCCTGAGAGTGGTGGAAGAGAGAAGCAGCACTTTAAAAGCACCCCTTCACTCCCCAATGACAGAAACTGTTGTGGGATGGAGAGGGAGAGAGAGTGAAGGGAAGCTGTGGGGTCTAAAAGCAGACAAATTAAAGCAGGAAAACTGAAGTGAGTTGAGTTACCCTCCTTACACAATCCTCCAAATACTTGTTCTGAAAAATCATGGACCTTGACCTCCTTAGAAACAATGTATAGTGGTGCTTCTTTTAAAAATACGGATCAAAATGAAAATAACTTTCCTATGCAATTATTACAAATTTCCATAAAAACATTTCCATTGTTAGCCTATTATCTTTCATTACTGAATAGTTCCCATTTTTAGTCGTAACTATACAGTATATGCTGTTTAATGGCATGTCAAGTCTTGCTTTCATTTATGTAGAAATTCTGTTGCTTTCAGAGCGAGAGAGAGACTAGCTAGGTGTTAGTCTCACCAAGTTAATTATTTCTGTGGCAATGACATGTCCAGCAGAGATTTCTGGATCTGAGATGTGAAAAACGTGTGTGCAATGGAAGGGAAAACCTATCATCTCATACCTCTAGTCAATTCACACATAACACTTATATTTTGATTACTTACTCTTGCCCTGCTGATGGTGTAAACTGACAGCCCTGAAGGCCTGGTGCTGGTGGTGGTGTGAGATAATATGCACGTATGCCTGTTCACACATACATGTTGCAGTTTGATGCTAAAACCAACTGATGACCACACATATGTGAACCATCTTTATATGGAAGCCAATCCAGGATGTTTACTCCCTGAACCTACTCCCTGAACCTATGGCAGCCAACTCTCATTTGCACAAATTTGTTCTGCGAATTTTGTCTACAACAAATGTGACTTGGAAGTGAGCATCACTAGTTTCTCCTTCA